GAAGTGTTCTGGAACAGTGTTGTAAATACAACTTAACCACTGATTTCTAGTCGTGTCCTCTTTTGGAAGGCCAAACAAAGTAGTTGTCGCTTTCGCAACGAAACACACAGTGTCTTCACAACATGGCGGCGGTGGCAGCAACAATAAAGTTACACCTTCTTTCTTTGCGTGAACATTTGGGCGCCGTTATGAAAATCTTCCCACATCGTGACGTAGACATGTGGAGGGGTGTTTAAATGAGGCGTTTTAGGAGGGCGTGGACCAGTCTTAACTTTTCTAAAGAATATCTCTTTGGGTTTGAGACTTTAGTCTTTGCAACTTTAGGGATCTTATCTATTCACGAACAGCTTGTAACACTCCAAAGAGAAAGGAAAACTTGAAATCGCATCATATGACCCCTTTAAGTGTACAACCACTGGGCACTTTGCTATCCCATAATACCACTGGAGCAGGAACACTGTCAGATTTGACAAAAATTGCCAGAAAACATTTTACAGAAAGTAGAATGTTAGTAGAATGTCTGTGTGCATAAAGAATGTACTTCATCAAATTAAGAACATAGTCGGAAAGTAAAGTAACTATTTTAATATCACAAAAAATGACACACTTCAGCCTCAACAACGTGAGGGTGAGTAAATGATGACAGAATTTTCATTTTTGGCTGAACTATCCCTTTAAACATTATAAGGTTGAAAGCCCAGTTATTTGGAACAAGACAAATGGGATTCAAATGTTCACCTGAATCATTCATAATCCCTCAAAGCTTTCCGATCACCATTATTTTGTACTGTTCTGCTCTGTTCCTGTCTCATGCGTGCAATATTCTCCTGCTCCTCCCAGACCCTCCAGAGGAACAGATGCACGGAGCAGGAAGCGGACGCTTTGCTCTCAGCTCTCTCCTCCTTGCAGGACAAGGCTCAGCATCTAGAGTACAACCTGAGTGCAGAAACCCGTCTCAAGCTAGACCTCTTCTCTGCGCTCGGAGATGCACGCAGACAGCTGGAGATAGCGCAAGGTTCATCTCATTTCAAATGATGCCAGTTATCCATACAAGATACATTAAGACGTTATCTTTTCTATACATTTTTTTACATTAAGATTACATTTGCTTTCATCTAAACCTCACTTAATATTAGAATTCAATAACACTAATAATTTAATAACACTTGTTAAATGTTTAGCAGATGTTAAAATGAATATCTATTTTCATACTGCACAATAATATTATGCCTAAATTCAATTATTCTAAAAAAAATAAAGGTTCTTTATTGGCATCGATGGTTCAGTGAAGAACCTTTAAAATCCACGGAACATTTCTAAGTTTGTTATAGTATTAAAATATTCTTCACACACAAAAAAAGAACCTTTTGGAACCTTGTAGCATTTAAATTATTAATTTTAGTTTTTTATATTTATGTGTTTATTTGGACAAAAAATTTATTGAAGTTTTTTAGTTATATAATATAAATATCAATTAATATAGAAATAATATAAATTAATATCAAATCATCCTCATCAGTATTGGCCACAATATGAATATCTCTAATGTCTTTCTTTACAGTTAAAATTCTGAAACAAGACCACGAGGTCAAAGAAATGAAGCAGAAGCTTGCTGAAGCGATGGCCGTGGCTCCAGGTATGTCGTACATGGCCCCCAGGTCCTCTATGCCTCAGTACCTCAAGTTCTTCAACTCTGAGCGCTACATGCTGAATCCCAGAGCGCTCATGTACCAGTGTCTTAAGAAATAAGACCAGCGAGGACAAATCGGCTTTTGAAGGATTGTTTTGACTCGACATTCCAAACACGGGGGCATCTCTGCTTCAAGGTTTGCCTGAAAACTTTGCCTTTTGACAATGCCAACAGCCTCTGGTGAGTCTACGGCTGTGTTTACTGATTTCAGCAGAGACACTGAGGCCGCTTATAGGTGACCTTGCTTTGAGATTCATTCCAGATGAAATCAAAGTTGACTGTAAATACATTGTTGACCAGCAGGCGACCATCGAATGCTGAGCAAACCGCTGCAAACTGCATAAATGGCAAGATACCAGTATAATGAAAAGTGTGAACTTGATGAGGAGCACAGTTCATTGTGAGGACAAGATATCCTGTGTTGGGTTTAAAATGAAGAGGCTTTTCTTCAGCCATGACAATAACAGGCCAATGCCTCACTTGGTCATTCTGTGCCTCATTATTTATGTGAATTCAATTTATATAACAAGCCAATATCAAACGTAAGTCAGTATGTGAATATTTGAGTGCTTTGTACCGTTTTGTATTCTTTTTACATTACACACGTTATAACAGAAGTGATCAACACCCAAAAAAAAATGTTTGTAGGTTTTCATGTTTCTGAAATTGACTTTTTTATGTATCGATGGGATAATTTTTAATGAGAAGTTTATTTTTCTGGCTTGACATACTTTTTTTCCCCCCTAAACCAAGATGAAATAATGGTTTAATTTTGTAATTCTACTTGTTGGTCTGCATGCCAATTTATGTAAAATGATTGCTTTGAAAAAAAAAGATTTTGATGTCTAATTGTGCATTTGTGCAAGGGCTGTTTTCTTCCAATAATTCTGGAAGTAGTAATTCATTAAAATTACTAATTAAAAAAATAAAGTCATTTTCAATGATAATCTTGTATTCTTTCCCACATTTCTGACACAAGAGACTTAAAGGCAGCATTCACCTAAAAACGAAAGTTCTGCCATCATTTACGTGCACCTTTTTTTTTATTTTTTTTACCAAACCTATGAAGTGAAAGCCAGTGGGGTTCAGTGTCATTTTGGACTCCACTAACCTTATTATATGGACAAAAACAGTTAAAACAAACTTCAAAAATAAAACAAATAAATGATATATAGTACATGTATTCCACAGAGAAAAATAAGTCATATGGGTTTAGAATGACAAAAGGGTAAATAAATAATGACAGAATTTAGTTTTTTAGGTGAACCGTTCCTTTTAATATTGCACTTAGATGAAATGAAACAGACAAAGAATGGAAGTACTCTGTATCTCATCTTTATATCAATAAATGGTGCAAATCTGAAAAGATAGAGGGTCAACAGAGTAAAAGCAGTTATGAGTTTCTGAATGTTTTGCATGAGATAAAATAGACACTTCAAAATGATTCTGAGCAATATTTTCAGCCCGTTAAACAGACCAAACTGAGAGAGGGATTGATACAAAGCCTGTTCTTTCTTTCAAAATAAGCACAGAATGAATCATCCATTTAAAATTGTTCCAATTTGTCACTACTGGTCTGCATTAAGAAAAAAAAAAAAAAAAACATTGTTTATTGTGTGCATTTCAATATTTCCGAAATCATTTCCACTCCAGTCAAATTGCTGAAGCAATTTGCAATTCGAACCATTTTTATAATTGAAAAGAAGCAACACAATTACCAATGAGAAGAAAACTAGAATTTTTCAGTTGTTAAACCATATTTCATGCATAATTTCAACTTAGCCGCTTGTAACATGATGTTGATGTACCACTGAGGTGAATATGAAATTTATTGCCATCAACATAAAACAAATCAGTGCAAACTCGCTCCAATGATGCTGCCCAACAAATGCACCACCAGAAACCCTAGGAGTTTTAATATTCTGCAAATATGCCAAACAATTGTTACAGTATACTAGCATGCAGACCAGTTGAGAAAGAAAACAACACTACAGGATCTGCACAGTAAAAAAAGGAATAATACAATGTGTTTGTCAGATTGTGTCTGTTGAAGGCACATTTTAACACGTCAGGTGCACAGGCGACCATTTCTTTATACTGAAACTCATATCTGTATCACATACAGGGAAAAGTCAAATCTGTGAAAAAGTGCCCTTCTCTTACAAACCATTAAAATAAAAACGTACAGCATACATTCACAGGTAATAAAGAAGAAAAAAAAAAACAGCCGCCACAATGATGAAAAAGAAACTACAGCATACATTCACAGGTAATAAAGAAAAAAAAAAAAAACAGCCGCCACAATGATGAAAGTGAAACACGCTTCAAGATAGACCATACGCATATAGATAAATAATCTGTTTGCTTTTTTCAATGCTTCGAGAACCCCTTTCCTTTCACAGTCGTCGTAGATCTTGCATTGCAGACCAAAGTTAACCATAATTAATGGTGTGCCTTAAAAGGTACAAAGACAATGTTATTTGGTAATTGCAAAAGAACACAGTAACGCATTTTTCTTACAATAAAAAAAAATAATAAATGAATGATTGAAAGGGTGAATAAAAGGTCATGAAATATGCATGTGATGTGCCTAAAAAGACAACAATAAAGATTTGCTAAAGTGCAAACCAGAAGTAACCGATCCCACACATACTGTAAGCAAACACGCTCCAAAGTACAGCTCGTAATACTGATTTAAATAATGAGTCATTTTTTTCTTCTTTTAAAACAGAGAAGCAGACTGCTACACTGACAGAATAAATGTACACAGGAACCATCAGCCAACACTTTCCATCACCTAAAGCAGTGTGAAGAACAGAGCGCAGGGGTGGTTTTCTTTCTGAAATTCAGTTCGAGGTGTTCTGATCCCTCCCGACAAAGCTCACACACAATCCTCCGAGTGATGAAGTGCTAGAGTCCCGTCCCGTGCATGAAGATAAAGGAGCTGGCAGATTGGCCCCTCTGCTATGAGGAAACGGTTACAGGATTCAGAGAGCCGTTACGGCTGTAGTATCTAGAGAACGCCTCTTCCAGCACAGTAGTGAGACGTGGCTGATCCCCCTTGACAGAGCCAGAAAAGAGGAAAAATAGTTAAAACAAAGTGGCACCAGGAACTGAAGAAAAAAGAAAAAAAAAAAAAAACGGAATATTGATCATTATTATCTGTTTATGTTTTGTCTAAATGTTCTTGTGATAAAACCAAGCGGCAACCTTCGCTCTCTCTCGTGAAACCAACAAGGAAGTGACTAAAACTGCAATTCATCGACTGGCCACTAGAGGCTGGCTCC